ACGTTACGGCTACCTTCTGCCTTCCTCGAAAACCGCCGGAGAACACAAGCCGACGGCATCGGCAGTATTTACCGACCGAAGTGAAGAGCAGAGCATTAAGTGCTTTTGATCTGGTTTAGTAGATTTTTCAGACCGAGTTATCTGAAGTAATGTGTATTAATAAGCAGTACATCATGCATAAAAATGGTTTTTAAGAGTTTTGTTAAATGCTTTATAATATATATATATATATATATATGTGTGTGTGTGTGTGTGTGTGTGTGTGTGTATATATAGAGATAGAGAGAGAGAGAGGGGGGGGGGGCAGGGAGGAACGATAAAATGCAAACCACCATTATTTGTACAAACCGTGCAAACCAACCTTATCCGTCGAATTGTTTTATCTTAAGAATTTTTTCATGAAATTGTTTTATCTTATGAAATTGTTTCATATAATACTTTTTTTGATTAAGTTGTTTCATATATGGTTATGGAATTGTTTCATATAATACTTACGAAACTTTAATGAAACTATTTCATGTATTTTTCTAAAATTAATATAATGAAGATGTTAATATCAATGATTAACACCCTCCATAATAAAAATGATTAATCAACCTCTTATAATTACAAAAAAAAAATTGATAAAATAAAAAATTATGATTGGTTGAATAAGGTTTGCACGGTTTGAACATGGTTTGCAAAGTAAACTTCCTCTCTCTCTCTCTCTCTCTCTCTCTATATATATATATATATATATAGGAGCCCATTCAAGGGAGAAATGATTAGTTTGTGGTAACTAGAGATCCAATCTCAACCATAAATCAACGGATAAATTGAGAAATTAATAATTATGATAGTTTGAATTATAATTATAATTAGAGAGCATTTTAGGTATTTTTAAAAAACTCCTCTCTCATCTCTCCTCTCTCCAATATCCGGCCTCCGGTGAACATTAATCCAGCAGGTACCAAGTAATCACAAAGATACACAATTTGATACCCATTGTGATATATTGTGATATCATTGTGATACCAACTATGATACCAATTCAAACATTAAAAACAAAATCAAATCCATAATCCAAATTTAAGAGATACATACAATCGATCCACGTTATGTTACCCAAAATACATACAAGATGCACTGTGATACCCAATGTAGTACCAATTGGGGTACCACTGTGTATCACTCTGAAGGAATCAGAGGTTTGCCTCTGAATGGAGCAGGTAAACAAACACCCCCTTCGACTTCAGTAGTTTAGTGGCAGAAGCTTTGAACTCAAAAAATAATTCGAAAATGGGGGCAACTAAAGGCGGTGAACTGGTTTACATGATCTACAGAGTTGTGACGTATGGTCTAACATCGCTGATAAATCTTCATATCCGGTGGCGCAAGTTCTGAGGTCTGGAACATCCTCTCCGGTGGCCGGAATGTCTCGGTCGACCGTCTATCTCTCGGCCTCCTGGCCCTCTTATCTGGTTCCACGCCGTTTCCCTAGGTTTTACTAATTCTCTCTCGAAAATCTTCTTAATCGTTGTATGTATGATTATTATATGCATATCAAGCGAAATTTTGTGTATAGTTGTTAGGGAAGAGGTGGATATTGGCTATGACGGGAAGGGTGGCCGGAGAAGAAGTCGATGAAGGAGAAGAGTACACCATATAGGGTTTTATGATTATAAACATTACCAATTTACCTTTTATGTTACTTTAGGATATAACATTAATTATTTAAATGATATGCTCACATTGGACCTTACAGCTATCACAAACTAATCAGTTCTCATTTCATTAGGCCCATATATATATATAATAGAATTTTGTTAAGAAATACAGTTGTAAAATGAAATAAAATGAATAACATTAAAGATCGTCGTGTAGATAATGTATGCATTTCTTGTATATTTGATGACATTGCATGAATTTTTTCTATTTTTGGAAAGTTTATTTGACAATTTTATTAAGAAAAACAAAAGTACACCTAAATGACATGATAACTACCATCCAAAGGCATACCCACTCTCCAAATGGGACAGACCCACAAATGTCTATGTGGTACTAGTCAAAACAACTAAACATAACTGGTTAAAAAACTTTCATACCAAAGTAAAATTGGACTGTCCATGTAATTAATTGGGATCAATTTTTTCCAACTTAGTTGATAATTGATATATTCATAAAAATAAAGTAATATAAAAGCACATATTTTCGTCAATTAAAACACATCTAAATTAAACAAATTCTCATTTCTCTCGGGATTCAGAAACTCCAACATTCTACAAAATAATCTTCACAGCCAACATTCATTCTCTAAATACAAACCTTTTAGTCCAACAAATTTCATGTAAATGTCTAAACAAAAACTTATTAGGTATAAAAAATAGTAAGCATGTGTATGAATAATATGAAAAAAATATTAATTGCTCTTAATATAAAGTAGTATAGGGAATAATCATTTATTAAAGACTTAATGTATCGATAAATAACATAAACAAATATTAAATTTG